ATCATCATCATCATCATCATCATCATCATCATCATCATCATCATCATCATCATCATCATAGAGCGGTATACAGCTAAGCAAACCAAACTGATCGCTGCTAAAATCACAACATACGCAACGAATGTTAGAAAGCGTTAGGTGGATGAGTCGGTCGGCTTCGAGGGGAGGGAAAGAATAGGGTACCCTAATGGTCAACAAAGAGCGCACAGTACAACTGTGCATGCATACCACTTCAAACACTTTGACCCGAAAATAAATAGTTACAATAACACCGCGGCCGTCGGTTCCCTTCAAGGTACCTCGATACTTAAACGAACAGTGAACGCTGGTCGATGCCGAAGAGAGGACAAGCGGCCGAACCTGAGGGATTTACACTCACCCTTTCAAAAGGTTGTTTGATAATCTTGTGGGCTATAATACTACTAATAAACTACTCACTTTACAATACCTGATTTAAGGAGTGTATTACATCATTCTGGAGTGAAAAATTGATCGTTCCAATTTTCAAGAAGGGATCTCGAGAATTTCAAGGTGTGGTGTTATATATATGTGGTCTAAAGCAAAACGGTGCTCTGGAAGCTGTCGAAAACTGAGGATTGAATCAAAACACCCACAACAGGGGTGAAACGCAATCTGCTCCTTGCCGGTCCGCTCATCAAGCGTAAAAGGAATGCAAAGAATGACAAACGCCAACGGCATTCATGTAATCTGAGTTGAGTTAAACCCCTGTTTGGAACACACTGCTTGGACCTATTGTACTTTTCACACCAGAGGACCTGCTTAATGGTACAAACCTTGAAGAACAGATCATCCAGTTATCAAATAAGCTTTATTTAAATAGAACCGTGGTAAGCCCCAAGATGTCTGATGCTTTGTGACGTCCCATGGTTTATATTTTCCCGCAGATGTCTGTCCCAAAAAGTGAGTTAATCGAAAGAGACCATGGGATGTATCCGAATAGCTGTGGAAGTTGATGTTGATGGATAGCAAAACTGCGCCTCAAAGTGCTTTATCCGATGTGAAAGATGTCACTGATGATTGTGAATGGACGAGCCGTCAGCTTCGTATATCCTTCCGCTCACTGCCGCATTCGAGGGGAGTGCTCCAGTACGGTTGCCAGTTCTGTATGCAACGCCGCCATTTGTAGCTTATAGCGATATGATTGAGTTGCGTTTATCGCGGACTCGGGAGGGCGGACGCCAAGCGGTGTACCGGCAGTTGGATCGTCTGAAGTTCGTACTGATGAGGAATAGACGGTGGTCGGAACATGGAGCCAACAGTCGTTTCCCGTTTCCTGAGCGACAAGCATCTAGTCCGAAAGAACCTCCCAGATAGACCTCATTCTAAGTCAGTCGACTGCCTCTGTCATTCACATCTGCTAAATTCACGATAATACAAAATTTACTACGTGATATGTGTACACTACAGCCAACAAGTCTCACAACAGATAAGCGTGTAACACTTTCTTCAAAGAGATAAAAAGTCAAGAAAAACGTGAGCAATAAGTCCATCGAGGATAATTTACCCAGTGGACAAACGACAGGTTTGTAAGTGTCTGTTCTATGGCGAAAACACGTGAACTGCCTAATTACAATAGGAACTGAACACTGCTAGTTTATCAAACCAAGTGCAAATTATTAAGCATTCCATGGCGACATGTATATACGTCACCAAAAACAGTAGAATAAAGACAATCATTATTCAACGGCTGAAGAATAGATCTTATAAAACAAGTCGAGCGCACGAGTGTGATTAAATGACCATGTTACCAATGCTCTCCGAGGAAGCCCAAACTCAGTCAGACATAACACAACTCAATCAACGAAAACCATAAGTGAGCATTTGCTGCGGAGTACCATCTACTCCATTTAGTACCATGACTATAAGCATAGCATCGTTAATTACACTGATCCATCACACCAACGCTAAAATGTCTGATGGTATCAGTAAAAAAATCTGGAGTAATTAGCCATATCATTATATGATGGAACCAGAACGATCGTACCGTCAACGCATTCACTTAACCTCCAACGGAGGAAGCGATATCGCATCGAATTACAACGCGGAAAAAAACTGGCCGATAAATCTTTTTCTAGCGCAGCTTCATTTGGAATTTGAAGGATTTTTATCGGGGCTGACGGAAAGAAAAACATGGTTGCGCTGCTGCGAATAATCATCCATGTGAGTGTGATAGTAAACAAACTACCCCGTAATAAAAACATCCCCAAGTTCCACTAAACTGCTGATCATTAACTACAACAGGACAAACTAAAGCGGGGTTCCATGGTGAATACAGACCAGGGAGAGGATAATAAAGTAAATAAACAGTAACCGTGTATAAAGTGATCTGTGTGCTTACTTTCGGCAATGGTTTCGTCGATTGTGAAAAGGCAAGCTTGAATTTTGTTGTGAAGGACCTAAGAATAAAAGGAAATGTTCCAATAATCGTGATACATAACGATAAAAAGTTATTGATGGTAGGAGAGCTAAACGAAACAGTCAAAAAGTCGACGTTAAGTTGACATAAAATTACATAAAATCTTTAACATGGTGCAGATCTAACCATAGATCCACTACACTGAAAATGCAATCATTTTACTAAAAGTTCCCAACGATTCATCATACGATTACCTGCTACTAAAAGAAGTGAATTTATATGATTCAGTAAAGAAAGATCCGTACAGCTAGTGGATAGAGTTACAACTGACCTGTTTCAACTCACGGTCCATATAGGACGGGTTGAACACGCGATCACTGCAAGCACGTGACTTCAGCTCATGTACTCGACCGGTTCGCATGTGGGCCGCGGTAGTTTCTGGCACGGGAGGAACTAGAATCCAAGCTGCGGTTTTTAAACTGCCCGAAGACTGCAGTTGTCGGGTATTTTCCAGTTGTTGGTTCGAGTAATAATGCGATGTGGCAAAAGCAGAGCGAAGTGGATTTAGGGAATTCAGTTTATCCTCCGTTCCGAGACCAGGCATATCCCGACCCAAAGAACTAGCAGAATCCACGGGAGGTTGATTCAGGCTCGCATTGGCCACTGTATGAGACTGAAAAGCTGATTGTGCAGCTGAGGGCAGGGAGGATGGGAGAAGCGAGCTGAACGAATGGGGAGGAATGGAAAGCAACCGATCTAATGGATTTGTATTAGAAGTGCCAGACAAAGGAGAGTGACCATCAGAAGCGTTTGAACCATCGATTGAATAGCCCGTGTCACCGGTACCGCCAAAACGATTCAGCAGGAACGCCGTGCATGCATCAGAATTCATGCTGCTGTTGAAAGACGTGTGGGTAGCATCTTGTAAACTAGAGAGCACGCGCGATACCGACTGTCCGGGGATCTACGAACGATAAAATTAAATACAAGACACCAAAACGATTACATTAATTTCCAAGTGATTGAGCAAACTCAAGTTTAATAACCGTTTTATGCGCACTGAAACGTAACTGTTATATTCTTTACATTATTCAAAAGCTTCTGATAGTATGAATCTAAGACAGTCAGATGATATTTACATATATATATATATATATACATATATATATATATATATATATATATATATAA